ATTCTTTAGCTTATTTGATCAAATTCTTTGAGTTTTTGGATGTTCTAAACCAATTCGAGCCAAAGGCTTCTTATTTTTGTGGTTCTGAACATATTTCAATCATCAATTTGGACTTTATTTGAAGAAATTTTGGATTTTTAATGATTTTTGTCGAACTGTTTGAGCTTAAACTGTCATATCTATAAACATCGCTCGATGAATGTTGCCTTGAAATATATTCATCAAGAACATCGCCCAATGAAGATATGAAGGTTGTTTAAGCGATATTTGGTAAGAATATCGACCATTGAAGATGTTAGTGACTTGCCTTATTTCAGACTGTTTTGAGTGATATTTGGGACCTAGACAATATTTTGATGGTTTGAGTGACATTTGAGGATAATGCCCAAACTTCGTCTTATATTTGTGAAAATCGTCTAAGTCATGTACGATATTTGAAGAACATCGCTCAAGTGTTGCATGATATTTGAGAACATCACCTAAGTGCTAAGCGATATCCGTGTGGGCTTTTATGTTTTTAAAAATCATCCAAGTATCAAGCCATATCCTTGATGAGTGATATCTTTGCTGAGTGGTTTTATATGGTGGCCGATATCCTTATAACAAACAGTTTGCCTATGTTACTTATGCATCATGGGGTTTATATGTTGAGCGATATATGAGTATATCGCTCAAGCCTCAAGCGATATTCTGTTAATAATGAGTGATATTTGGAATTGAGTATATCGGTCAAGGCGTGGGCGATATACACTGTTCGTAAGGGAAACCGCCTATGGCATGGGTGACATAATTCTTGTCCTTAGAATATCGCACACCTCTACGAGTGTTATTGTTCATGACTCTTTGTGCTTATTTTGATCTTTTCCCAAGATAACCTTGTGCTACATTATTTGGTGTTCATTCTTTAATATTTTTTCTCTCAAGAAGCATTATCAGTATTTTGTCAACAATTGATTTTCTATAGTTAAAGTTTGACCCTTGTTCAAAATTTTCAAGCTTATTGAAAAATAGCCAGATTTGATAAGTTTTCAGAACTGGGTGATTGGATTTAGTATTTGATTGGACTGGTCAGAAGGTTGAATACTTGCAATCATTTCTCTAAAGTTTTTCGCAAGAGGTCAGACCATTAAGTGCTTGCAATCATTGTTTGACCTGATCAACCAGAATCTTGAAGGTTTGCAATCACTGTTCTGGAGTTTCTGGAGTTACAGACCTTTGAGTGTTCTCAATCATTTTCATCTAACTTGATCAATTAAAGGTTTGAATGTCTACAATCATTGTTCTGGAGGTATGGTTGTGATTTAGAGTTTTGTGTGCTAATAATCATTCGACTGATTGAGAATTTTGGATCTGGGTTTGGTTATTTAGTTTTCTAGAAAATATGAAGGAAATCGGCTTATCTTTCTTGGTTGACAGCTGCTGATAAAGAAACTATGTTCTTAATGCTGATATCTCTCTGGATTTCATTGTCAAAGGTGTTTGCTCTGGTTATTCAAGCTGTTATTGAAACCCTACTTTGTGAGCTTATCAGTACAAGTTCTTAAGTTGAAAGCCTATTCAACTCATGGTTTAAAGAAATATTCTTTGTTATTAGACTGATTCTACCCTATGGAATGTCACGTTACTCGCACATTATCTATCCTGTTATTGGATGAATCAATATGCTTATTGCTGGCTGAGATTCTAAGATTCAAGGTTATGTTGAGTTGTCTAAAGTTTAAAACTGCTTTTTGGTGCAATCAGTGGTGTTGAAATGAAATTGAATCTTATTTTAAAGTTGAAACTAAAGAATAAGAGCTTTTTTCAAAGGGGAGCTTGAAGTATTCTTTGAGTACTAGCAACACTAAAGTTTTCCACAGAAAGCAGGCGAAGATGATCTGAAATCTTCAGAAAATGCTTCCTTCATAAAACTTTAGGGCGAGATTGTTGGGAATAGATTAGCCCCAAGATATTGAAAGTTTTATAAAGTCAGTTTCATGTATTGTATTGTTATATTTATTGTAATTACGCATTGGGATTACCTTGTAAGTGACACCTATAAATAGGTGTATTGGGGTCTTAGATTTCATTATTCAAATTCATGTTTTCAATGAGAGTCAATTAGAGAGTTATTACTTTCTATATATATGTATATATATGTATATATATATACATATGTATGTACATATGTATATACATATATATATGTATATATACATATATGTATATATACATATATGTATATATACATATATGTATAAATATATATATAGGGTTGGGTTCCGGTGAGAAGAAAAGTTAAGGTGAGAAGCGTAAGAAGAGATTTCAACACTTGGATGCATATTAGGGTGAAAGGCACGGGATGCACTAGATCTTTTCCCGTGAGAATCGCAATTCATGGGTAGGCAAAAGATTAAAAGTGATCAAAGGTCCAGATTCCTTCTTACGTTTTTCACCTTAACTCTTTTTCTCACATGATCCTTTGCATATATATATATATGTTACATATCATAAATAAATTATAACTATATATAGGGTTGGGTTCCGTGAGAAGGAGAGTTAAGGTGAGAAGCGTAAGAAGAGATTTCAACACTTGGATGCATATTAGGATGAGATGCACGAGATGCACCGGATCATTTCCCGTGAGAATCACAATTCATGGGTAGGCAAAAGATTAAAAGTGATCAAGGGTCCATATTCCTTCTTACGTTTCTCACCTTAACTCTTTTTCACACATGATCCTTCGCATATATATATATATATATATATATATTACAAATCATAAATAAATTATTACTATATGTTAAAATATGCTTTAAATCTTTAATAATATTAACTTTTGTTCTTTTTGTGTCAA